CAATATCAAATAATTGTTAATGGGAACAACAGATCAAGATTATTCGATAATAAATTATCAATTAAATTTGAAAAATATTTGTTACAACTCAGTTCAGAATCTTTTGTCTTCCAAAGCTCCTATCTAGAAATTAGAAACGTAAAGATTAAAAACAAGAGACTGACTGCTTACAAGACCTAATAGTTGATAGGACGATAATATTAAAAAATGAGAATGCGTCATTAACTTGACTTATCAGCAGGCTGAAGGATGATTAGCTTCTCAAGGATTCAGTTAAAATCTTTTACAGCTGAGATAACATGAAATGACTCCATGTGCGTTCACTGCAGATAAAAGCCTGTTATTAACGGGGACACTCTTCATTAAATACACTAAGTAACTCCATGAAGCAGAATTATTCATAAGGAACTAACCTTCTCTTGGAACCTGAAGGTTAAGAACCATGTTCACAAGACTTCGCCACAGGTACCTACCCCAAGCCAGAATAATCCAATCCACTTCAGTATTATCCTTAATTTGATCACCCCAATAATATCTGGTGGAGTACAAACTATGGAGTTCCTCATTCTACAGTTTTCTCCAGCCTCCTGTCACTTCAGCTCTCCTATGTCCAAATATTCTCCAAAACATCAAGCTCTCAAATATCCTTAATATGTGTTCTTCCCTCGATGTCCTCTGCTTCATCTAACCATCTTCATGACGTATTCTAAAAGCACAGTTAATAAAAGAATCACTTTCTTTCAGACTATTCTAAAAATTCCCCACTTAATGGTACCTGCAACTTGTCGTGGTGGTGGGGCTCGAGTACCTCAGTGACCCCAAGAGCTACTGGTAGGGCCTCCATAGCCAGATTGGTCGAGGGCGAGAGGTCAGACTAAGACAGATACCCTGGTCCTCCAGGTTGGGGGTTGGTCGCAAGGCTAACAACCTTGCACCGTGAAAAGGAAGATGTTTCGAAACCTCGATCAACGCCTCGGACAGACGGACCTAACAGAGGACCGAATGGAAGAGGAGAATTGAGGAGGCCGTGGACCGAATACGGACCGGAGAGCCGTAGAAGAATAATTATACAAATTTGCATGGTCTCTGCTGTAGGTCTCAGTCAAATATATTTCAGTTAGCCAGTTTCATTGGTATACTAAATTCAATTATGATTTTGCACAATACTTCCTTGACTAAAACTTTCTTCAAGCCTATAAACAACTGATGTACTCTCATTTTACCTTTAGCACAATACGTGATCTTCTTCCTTAGTACTCTTCCAATAAACGATGGCACAAATGTTCACTTGTGCTCGTTGTAATGGGCAGAAATGAATTTTCAGATATCTATATACAATTTCCAAGCAATTTCTGCTGGGAGTTGCTGCTCGCTAAATTCACACAAGTTGCGCAATACAAATTGCAATTACGTGCTTATACACTTGTACAAAACAAACCCTGCATTACCGCCCTTGTTCTAACAAAGCCGCTGCTAATGTTGGCCTGTAGCATTTGTTAAGGGCTCAAATAGTATAAAGTCACGTCTAATTTTAAATCCATAAACACGCCAAAAAAACCAACACTTACCGTGCCACTAAATACTAGTATTCATTATATCATCAGCTGAGAAAGTCAGCAAAATACACGACAAGTCCCAAGTTTCTTTAAAAGTAGAGTTACAGGTCGCTATACGTTCCTTTTGAAATTCCGGTGACAAATATGGGGAACTTGCGAGTCCACCTGCGAGTGGCTCATCAAAACCTCCGAGTTAATGTAGTAAAGGATGAAAATTACCACCATTTTGAAGTTCCTTCCAAACATTTTAACCTTCACTATTTCTGTGTCACATTATATATATATATACACACAGGCGCGCGCGCGCGCACATAAAATTGTTATGGCTCAAACAGAATCATTACATTGTCCACAAAACGAACCAATCTGCAATATACACAGTCTCATTGAATTACTGAACATGGTTAATTCACATATTTAAAAAGATTTTATTTTAAAAATAACATTTCTCATAGTTCCAAATATACATGTAACAACTGTACCAAATACTTACAAATGCTAAGAAAAAAAAAAATTAAGAACAATCTTAACATAAATGTACTTTTAAACACAGATTGCATTTGGCATGATTCCACGTTTCATCCCAGGACGGATTATTTGCTCCACGAGCACTAGAGATTGCATTATATTAGATCTACGCAGTGAGCTGCTGTACCCTGAGTGAGGCAACTTCCAGATAGATAAACAGATCTGCTTAGCACAGTGGTCCCCAAACCCACGGCGGGTACGTGAATGCTTTAGGGGCCTGTCACTTTGCTGCCATTACGTCCGACGCTGTCTGAAGCATATTTAGTTCGCGGCTGGCTTTACTCCTGTGATTAGTCTTCATTACGCTGATTTACTTTTTTATGATACAAATAGCAACCACATATAATTCTTTGGTTTATATACAGCATCGGTATTACGAAGCTTAGGAGTTCCGATTACCACAAATTAAAAATTCATTTGCGATATACCTCGCTCAGCGCATAACCACCAAAACTGTGGCGTAATAAATCACTCAAATACAAGATTTGACGTGACATTACATAAAAGAAAATTTCCAAAAATCAAATGCATGGGGTCTAATTACGTAGACACGATTAGTAGTTTCATTTCAGATAGGAAAAGATTTGTGAAACTATGTAAAGCCTTAACCATGTGCTGATGGGGCAGGTGCACTAGTGATGAGGCCAATAATACAGAAATTCATCGTAAAAGTATAACTTCAGACAACATTTTCTCATATTCTGATTCTTCAAATACGTGGTTGCACGGTGATAAGTTTGGGAATCACTGCTGGAACATTAGACGATGATTAAATTATTAAAAAAAGAATACTGTTGTTTCACTTTAAATCTGTAAAAAA